GAAGTAGATAGGTGAAAGATATGGTTAGAAACAATAGCTTCATAGTTTGCTATTTTTGTTCAATAAAAGTTTTATGATGTAGCATTTTTTTCCTTTCTTCTTTTTTTGTAGCAATATATTTCGCGTATCCATATACAGGTATACATTTACATATATTCTGCATCTTGAGTACAGAGCCAACATAGTCTGTTGAAATAAAGAGGGTACTGGAGACTGGCAGATCAGGGTTGTTTGATTTTGAGCTCTGGCCATTGGCTGAGTGGTCTAAGCAAATCACATAACCTCCTTGAGCTTCTGCTTTGAAATGGAGGTAAAATTTAAATTGTTTGCTCCTGTAGAAATTTGAAACAATGTGAAAATAGAGTTTTAACATGTAATACATGTTCAATAAATAACTATTTCTATTATTACCTGCTTCTATTATACTGAAAACCTATCAAACCACTGTTATAGATTCAGTTCCCAGTTTTTCCTTTCTAACACTCTCAACTCCTTTAAGCTAATTAACCTCTCCTACCTCTCTTTCAATCTTCAAAACTTAGTGGATCAAGAATTGAATATATATTTTTGGAAAATGAGAGAAGGTAGACTTTCACTAGTTCCCGATAGGCTGGCATTGGTTTTTAAGATTAAATTGATGTACATCTCAATAACATAGACATATCTCTATTAAGAGACATCAGTAATGGGAAGGGAATATTGTATTTCTAATGTGTAGACATGATTATCTTTCTAGGGTTTCAGTGTTCCTAGGCTGACAGTATTATTTACATTTTTACCTATGAATAAAATATGCGCATTACTGCATGTAGATACTCATATCAGACTTTGACAGAAAATGTAGGTAGAAGCATTAAAGCATGTATGTTTAAAAATATTTTGCCCTAATGATTTTGATGGGGAGTGCCAAAGAACAGCCTAACAGCTACTAGGGAATAAATGATTTGAGCAAGAAAAATGGTCTCCTTAAAGTCATAAGCAATAGAGAAAAAAAAGTAGCCAATCCATATAAGCCAGTATTTACTGAGCACTAAAGAGTCACAAGTAGCCCTGGTGGCCCAGTGGTGAGAGGGCCTTGTACTCATACAAAGAGTTACCATCTCAGAAACTCAAAAGGGCAGTTCGAACCTGTCCTAAAGGGTCACTATGAGTTGGCATTGACTATGAGTTTGCAGTTTGCAGTTTGGAAAAGGGGCGATAAGGAGCTTTGGTGGCATGGAGGGCTACACATTGGGCTGCTAACAGAAAGGTCGGCTGTTCCAAACCAAGTCAAAACCACCAGTTGTTCCACATGAGAAAGTTGAGCCTTTCTACCCCGGTAAAGATTGACATCTTGGAAATTCAGTTTTTTACTTTGTCCTATAGAGTCGCCATGAGTTGGAGTTGACTCGGGGGTGGTAAAAGGATGTTACATTTAAAAACATCAGGTGCTTTTAAAACTAGAAGTAAATGCATGGCAGTGGTGGATGCTCAGCTAATGTCATCACGGTTTCGTTATTGGTCCGTGTTCTGATTCGGCTGAGAGTCATGTAACAGGGTAAAATTCTGAAGGATAAATATTCTTGATGATCTTTATGTTTGTTTTGTTTATCATTGCATTGATATCTATTAGAGTGTTTGAGACACAGACTGCACCCTACTTAATATTTATTGAATTCATAGTTCTCTTTTTAGGACTGTTTTTGGAATTTTTTCTCCATTTTGTCTCCATTGCCTGCCAAGGCAATGTAGCATCTTCTCAGTCTGGACGGCAAGCCACATCAGCACAGCATAGTTTTGATTGTATATTGAATTAAGGATTAACATAAGAAAAAGAAAAATGACAAATGAGAAATGACTTAAGGAAATATGGGACATATAAATTTCATTCTACAAATGGCTAAAATGCAGTCTTGTAAATTCTAAAGCCTAACTTTATAAAAGAAACTGAAATTACAATATATTTTTATTGTATTAGTAATTTTTTCTCAAATATAATTTTTTAAAGTTTCTGCTAATATAAATATATTCACTTGGTGTCTTGCTTCTAAAAACAAATACCCTCCCTCACACTCAAGAAAATAAAACTTCCTGCTATTGAGTTGATTCCAACTCATAGAAGTCCTGTAGGCCACTTTACAGGAGGAGATAGCTTCAACTCTCTCCTGCAGGGTAGCTGGTGCATTCATGTGGCTGATCTTGTGATTAGCACATCAAGGAGTCGCCACTGTATCTCCAGAGGTCCTGAATCTCTACAGGAAATATTATTTCAGGTCCCAAGGTTCATTAGCTATTCTAATATGCTTGGCCAAAAAGCATCTAAATCTGCTCATTTGTTCATGGGTCTAAAGTAGTTTTCTTATCTATTCCTACCTTTCAAATCATTTTATTGGGGGCTCACAAAACTCGTATCACAATCTATACATACATCAATTGTATAAAGCACATTTGTACATTCGTTACCCTCATCATTCTCAAAACATTTGCTCTCCACTTAAGCCCCTGGCATCAGCTCCTC